CAAGGAAATCCTCATAAAGGAACTTTTTCCATTAAACAACCCAAAAAAGATTGAAAGGAGAAGATACTCATGCAACCACGCAATAACCGACCCCGCCATATTAACCATTTGGATGACAGGAGCAAAGCTCCCATTCCATGTATGAGATTGGACTCCACCGAGAGTGAAACGGTGGATCATTAAGCAGTTGGAAAACATCAGGACTTTGCCAGGATTTTCATCTTGTACTGCATTTTCCCAGTACAACCAGAAAAGAATGACAAAAGGCCTGTTTTAGTCAAGATGCTCCAGAGAAATATATATATATATATATATATATATATATATATATATATATAGAGAGAGAGAGAGAGAGAGAGAGAGAGATTTACCACCAGTAAATTGGTTCAGGTAATTACACAGGCTAAGAAGTCCCAAGACCCTCATTCTGAAAGCCTGACAACCAGGAGAGTCACTGCGTAAATTCCAATCCCAATCTGAATTTGAAGGTAGAAGGAGACTAATGTACCAGCTCAAAGACAGGCAGGGAGAGGATTCTCTCTTTCATTTTATTCAGACCTTCAGCTGATTGCATGAGGACCACCAAGCTCAGAAAGGTGATCTTCTTTGCTGCACCTACCAATTTAAACATCATCTGCATCCAGGAACCTCATAGAATCCCTAGAACAACATTTAAACAAATATCTGGGCATTCTGTGGCCCAGTCAAGAGGGCAGACTAAATTATCCATGCCAATGTCTAAGGAAGAATGAGGGGACTTAGCACAAGTGACCCTGAAAGTTTGTCTCTCCAGACACAAACCTGGTTCTATCTTACTGGATATCCACTTTGCAAGTGTCCACCTTCCAGAGTCCTTTCTAGAACCTAACATGTCCGTAGGTGTAGTCACTTTGATGCTTCTAGACTTGACTTTCATGTTCTCTAGTGAAGCCATTATCCAATGGGAAGAAATATGGTTTTTAATAATCAGGAATTATTAAGGATGAAAGAAGTATTCTGAAATATTCTCATAATACTGTATTTTTCCTGCAAACTTTCTAATAATCATTTCTAACATAATGTTTTGATGATACTATATTTACTTGAGGAGATGAAAGCAGGCAAGTTAGAATGGTGGTTTGGCAGAAAAAATAGCAAGTTGTTGGCAGCTTTTTTATGTGCTTCAGTGACATCTTAAGAGGACACCAATGTCATGCATTCATCCACAGACAGGGACCCACGTCAGGGAGAAGGGCCAAAGGCTGACCTTTTTTATTTTTTAATAAATTGATTATTTGATATTAATGGAGGTTCCAACTATTTTTCATCATAAGCTGCTTCATAATACAGTTAGAAAGAGTCTACCCTCTTTCAGTATTTGGCAGACACATATAAGACAGGAGTTTAACGATCTTTTATAAAGAACTTTTATATTCTAGTAATCCTAAAATGGGCTTTTGGACATGTAACTTGGCCAAGAGCCCTATTTTTCCTTGCTGGCTTCAACTAACCAAAATTTCGCATTCATTCCGAACCTTTTCACCCCAAAACATACCTCAGTCAAACAGAACCGGTGAGGCTTGAATGGCAGCTGACTTAAAATAGTGTATCTCTTTAATACTGTATTACAATGTGCATTTAGACAGAGATGCAGGCTGGCCAAATAGCTGAGCAGATTACAACACCTGTAAGCAGGCGCAAGAGCCAAGGGTTCGATCCCCCAGGCCTGTTGTGCTGGCCCTGCCCCCGGAGCTCGCTGAGATGGTGATTGAGACTGGGTGTGGTGGTGCATGCCTATAATCCCAGCACTTGGGAGGTTGTAAACAGGAGAATCATTACAAGCCCAACCTAGTAGTGAGGCCCTGAACACCCTGTAGACCCTTCAATAAAATAAAATAAAATAAAATAAAATAAAATAAAATAAAATAAAATAAAATATATAGAGAGAGAGATGCCTCACTTAGTAAATATTGGGCTTTTGGCCTGAGTCATCCCTAAGCCAGTTTATCAGGAGTCCATGGCAGGCCAATTCACCTCAACACCAGCTGAAACAGAGACCATGAAGTCAAAAACAAGAAAAAAAGCGTTTTGGTGTGGAAGAACAGTGAAGTGTTTGGTCCCCACCCTGGCTGTAAGGGTAAAAGCAGCAAATTCAGTTGTCTGGAAGCATTAGTCGGCATCTCTTCTCTCTTCCCTCACCACCACCTCTACTTTCCACCCCTCTCCAGTATATCCATAAAGGAGTCAGCATGTTTGTGCAGGATTAGGTAATGTGGGGAACAAATCTATTGTAAAGTATTGCAAGCTTATGAAAAATGGACAGCACCTCAGAACAGATGCTGTTAACTTTGTCTGTAGCACCTGTGCCCAAGTCCGCAGTCCAGGATCCTGTTTCATACTGACTGACGGCCTACTTTTGTGCCCAGTACTCTCTGTCCACCACCATCCTCCTTCTTAAATAAAAAAAATTATAAGTTCTGGGAAGTGTTAGCAACTTACCTGTGTCCCTGTAACCCAGACCATGCTGGGCTATAGTGGAGACAGTCCCGGAGCTGGGGAGTGGGGCTCAGAGCAGCTCTGGCCACGATGGGGTGGGTGCCACAGGCTCCGTAGGAGCCCCATCCCAGCTGCCAGTGTAGGGAGGGAAGGAGCTAAAACCACTTCACTGCTTCCACCCACTCCCAAACTCCTTTGATCTTCTCTTTCTTTCAGCTGTTTTTCTCCTCTTTCATCTACAACCAATTCATCTCTATTTCAGCATCTCAGATTCATTCATTCCAATAAATGTCAAGCACTTACTGTACAGGGCACCAAACATTCAGCATCCTTTATCCCTCGCCTCTCTCTGAAGTCTCTCTGGACAAGTTCATTTGTTTGCTGTTAAACCCATAATCGATTGCTCGTGCCTCCTGTACAGCATATGAGACCGTTGGCCTGTTTGTATGTTCTAGAACGTTTCCGTCTATCACCGTTCTGAACTTCCTTTTGCCAGCTTTCTTTCTTCCTCTGATGCTTTCCTCTTAATCTTTTTCTTATTTCTTGTGCCTTTCTTTTCCTAGGGTCACATTCTTTCCTCTCATCTCTTTTAATTCTACATACTTCCCTAGTTATCTCATCTTTTCCTAAGTATGAAAATATCATTTCTAATGCAGAAAACTCTGAGGGATAAACTTCCAACCTCTGTCTCTCTTCTGAACTCCTGTCATGTTTAATGAACATTTTTGGTATTGTGGCTGGCTCCGCCCACCCTGGGAGTGGCAATGATACGGAGAACCATCAGGAGAGAAGATGTGAACAACCAGTTGTAATCTGCCACATCTCCTCCACAGAGCTCCATGTGTACGAATGTGTTACTGATGTGCTTTTCCCATTCTCTTGCTCACTGTCACTTGATTTTTTAAAGCTCAAACTTCTAGGGCTGGCCAAATAGCTCAGCAGATTAAAGCACCTGCAAGCAGGCCCAGGGGCCAGGGGTTTGATCCCTGAGCCTGCTGAGCCGGTTACACCCCCAGGGTGCGCTGAGACAGCAATTGAGACTGGGCATGGTGGCGCCCACCTATAATCCCAGCTCTTGGGAGGCTGTAAACAGGTGGATCACTACAAATCCAATCTAATAGTGAGATCCTGAACACCCTGTAGACCCTTCCCTAAAAATACAAAAAAAAAAACAAAATAAAAAAAAAAAACCCTCGAACTTCTGTTTATTCTTCAGGCTTCATGACAAATGCATTCATTCATTCATTCATTCATTCATTCATTCAGAGCCACATTCAGAGCCACGTTTCTCCTTAGCAAAGACACAAGCACCCACTGTCTCATCCTGATTTCCTGGCCATTGATCCCTTTACTCCCCAACAGATAGGGGTAGATTAACATCCCACCCATGAACTCTGAGTTCCTTAACCCAAGCTTAAAGTCTGGATCTAACATTTACTCACTATGTGAACTTGACTAATATGCTCACCTCTATACAGCTTTTGTTTCTACATCTATAAACTATGAAGCTCATTATGCTCATTTTTAAGTGAGTCTTATAAAAGATGATATAAAGATAATGGCCCCCTGGCTCTTCAGTACAATTTAGCTATCAGCGTGATCCCAAGAACAATTGTACTGGTCAAAGATTCACTTTAAGAACTGGTATATATTGCAAATTTTCCACCTACAGTTCTAAGAAAATGTATTGCTAAAAATCAAGTTAAAAACTAAACTGAATTATATTTAATATGTCATCCATTTCTATGGTTCATGGCTTAAGTTGGGGTTTTTTTGGTTTTTGTTTGGTTTTTTTTGCGGAACCAGGGATTGAACTCAGACCCTTGTGATTGCCAGGCAAGCGCTTATTCTACTGAGCTATCTCCCTGGCCCCTGGTTCATGGTTTAATGATTAAACAAATGAACTTTCAATATTCAGATAGTCATTCTTATGTAAAGCATTTGTGTAGGATAGTCTATGTTTAGCATAGCTAATTATTTCTCTCTCAAATATTGTATATGCTTTTGCTCCTCTGATTTTAGAAACACATCCTTAGAATATTGAAATGAGTGAACTGCCTTCGGAAGTAGTGAAGGCTTATTCAGTCAATGAATAATCACTGATTGCAAGGAAGATCCCAAAACTGGTGAACAATTAGATTAAGATAGCTACTCTTCTAAGATTTTGTGAAAAGCCAAGGTTCAAGAACCCAGGAAGATGTGCACTGTCACAATCGCTTGCCGCCACCACCAATCTGAATCATCTGCACTCTAAAGAGCAGTAAGCCTAGAAATGACATCTCCCTGGATGACAAGTAGCATGTTCTTCCTTTAGTGTTGGTTTGTATGTTTCTCCCTTCTAAAACTCATTGAATCTTCTCTGCCAGCCCTGCCCAAATGGCTGCCCATGACCATCCTGGGTGCAGGGAACGGAAAGCCGGAAGGGGCAAGACAAGTTCAGTTCGCCATGGGGCTGTTTGAAAAAAACCCAGGAGAAACCACCCAAAGAGCTGGTCAATGAATGGTCACTGAAGATAAGAAAAGAAATGAGAGCTATTGACAGACAAATGAGAGATATCCAAAGAGAAGAAGAGAAAGTGAAATGGTCTGTGAAAGACGCTGCCAAGAAGGGCCAGAAGGACGTGTGTGTGGTGCTGGCCAAGGAGATGGTCAGGTCGAAGAAGGCCGTGAGCAAGCTGTGTGCATCCAAAGCGCACATGAACTCCGTGCTCATAGGATGAAGAACCAGCTTGCGGTCCTGTGAGTGGCCAGGTCTCTGCAGAAGAGCATAGATGTGATGAAGGCCATGCAGAGTCTGGTAACGATCCTAGAAATCCAGGCCACCATGCAGGAGCTGTCCAAAGAGATGATGAAGGCTGGGACCATAGAAGAGATGTTAGAGGACACTTTCGAAAGCATGGATGATCAAGAAGAAATAGAAGAAGAAGCTGAGACAGAAATTGACAAAATCCTCTTTGAAATTACAGTAGGAGCCTTAGGCAAAGCACCCAGTAAAGTGACCGATGCCCTTCCTGAGCCTGAACCTTTAGGAGCCATGACTGCCTCTGAGGCTGAAGAGTAGGAAGAGGCCCTGGAGACCAGGCAGTCCCAGCTGGCCACATTCAGCAGCTGGGGCTTGCTCTTCCCACAGCCTGCCCACTGGCACCTGTGCACCTCGGAAGAGGTGGCCATTCAATGCAGCTCTTGCACTATACCTCTGTCATGAGGCACTGCATTTGGAAGAAGGTCCTGTGCTTATCTCTTCACTCTCTGCAAGGTTTTAAGTTCACAAAGGGATTGTTCTTATGAAGGTGGGGTGATTAAATGCAGCATTTTCAGGAATATAAACAGAAATATCTTCTTGGGGAAAGCAGAGAAATCCCCTTTTCTTATGAAGCAGCTCTAGGAACAGAGTTGATTGCCTGAATGTGGAGGACTCTGCACTGGGGAGGAGGTGTGTAAAATACTGTATAAATGGATTTTAATAAATTTCTGCTTTAACATTTAAAAAATAAAAATAAAAAATAAAACTGAAATTCAATGGCTAATGTAATAATATTGAAAAGTGGGCCTTTTAAGAGGTGATTGGGCTTTAAGGGCTCCACCTCAGTTGGGCTTAGTGCCTTAGTAAAAATTCAGAGTCAGTTCTCACAGCTCTCTCACTTTCCTGTCAGGTAAAGACAGAGCATTCCACTCCTCTGGAGGACACAGTGCTCAAAGTACCATCTTGGAAACAGGCTGGCCTCTTGCCAGATACCAAACCTGCTAGCCCCCTTGATATGGAGCTGTCAGCCTCCAGGCCTGCTCTTTATAAATTATGCGGGCTAAGGCACTTCTTTAGAGTAGTGCAAAATGGAGTGAGACATTTGCCTCTTGCCTTCATTCCTATGAATGTAAGTCTTCACTTACACTTTCTCTTTGACCCTCTTTTCCTTTATTCTCTCAGTCATTTCACCCACCAATGCCTCCAGGGTCGAGTGATCTTCCTTGTGTCCCAACCTCATCGCTTCCTCTCCAAATTTCTTCTTGCTTGAAATCTCAGTGTCGGTTCTGACTTTTTGCTGAGTGCTTGCCCTGTTCTAGTCTACATCCTCCACTCACCTCTCTAGTGTTTTTCCCATTTCTGCCTCTACAAGTCAATCCCTCTTCTATACACTGCTGGCAATAAAGTCCAAGAGTTTATAAGTTCTACTGAACTAAAGAAGTCATTCCTCAGCCAGTTCTTCCTCAAACTTCCCGAGCCTAACTTCCCAGCACTACTTACATATTTCTTTCACAAAACACATATCTTTAAGAATCTAGCTTTAACCTTAAAGCCTTTTCTTGTGTCTCTTTACAATTACTAGTGTTGGTCCTCATGCCTGAGTCTTTTTTTTCCTCCTTTAAATGTTACTTATTCTGTATTAAATGCATTAACCTGACTTCAATTATTCCAACCTCAGAACGCTTTTCCCAAGGTATAATCAACATACAGACTCCAAATAAACATCTTCCAGCCTATGTTTTTGTAATTGACATCTGCTGAGAATACACCTGGCCTAGTGACAGTAGCTCTCTCCTACCTTAGGAATTATCTTTGTTCTATATCATGTATTTCTTCCTTGTGTTATCAAGAGTACCCCATTTTCTCCCAACCAAGGAGTGGCCACTTCAGAATGCTGAGCCCATGATATCCTAAAAAATAATGTAAGGGAAATAAAACATGATATGTTATTCAGTCCATTGGTATTTCAAAGAGACTGAACTAAGTTGCTACTATAAAGATCCTCGGTGCTACCTAAGTGCCTTTTATTTTCAAAGTTCTTTCTTTGGTTTTGAATTGGGTGATCTCTGGCAATCAATTCTCTTCCATGATTTAATTAACCTGAGTGTTTTGTATTACTTGCAACCCAAGAAATCTGTCTAATGCACTATTGTATCCTTAAGTGCCAAAAACTCTCATAGCAATTTATTAGGAAAATTGTTTCAATTGAAGCCAAAGGTTTTGATCCTGGGATTTTTATATCATCATTCTTTAAAAATTCTTGGTTTTGCTGATACGTATTATAAGTACAAATTGATATCCTTAGTCATAGAGAGTTGGTACATGTGTAATACACTTCTTATTTTTTCTACCTCTTCTTCCCTAATCTTTCACTTTCCATCACCCCCTCATCTCTCTATTGTGCCAGTACCCTGAGGATGGCATTAGCAATGGTAGATTCTAGAACGAGCATCCTAAAAATAAGGAGGCAACTCATGTGCCTTCAACACTTCAGTTTACACTCAGATGGATAATTTACACTGAGCAAGCATCTTTTCCTATAGAAGGCTTTTGTGGTTATTTTTGGGCCTACCTTCCCCTTTCTATGTCCAATCCTTTCCTTGTCTTCTCATTGCTTCCCTTCCCTTCCCTCCCCTCTCCTCCTCTTTTTTACCTTTCCCCACCTTTCCCATCCTAACCCTTCCAGTTACTAAGATATTTATTAAACTAAGATGTTTATTAGTTTTTTCTTTTTATTATCTATGCTATCAGTTTATTATATTTATTAGTTTGTTGTGTATATTATTTATTTACTGTATTTGTTTATTAGTTTATTATACTTATTATTTATTGGCCATTTATTTTGCTACTTGTAGTACATTTATTTTTTTAAAGAAAGTGTTTTATTTTTTAAATTTTTATTCATTTTAATGAGAAAAAAGAATAGCAATGAAACAGTTTCAATACAGGTTAGTAGGACGTTTACAATAATTAATACATTACATATTGTTGTCTTCATAGTAGTAATTCAGAGGACAAGATGCAAACATGATATCTTGTCTAAACAATATTAGTACAAACTTTTATTCTCAGTGAACTAAGAGAAAGTAGTGTATATCTATCCTAACTCTTGTGTGTGTGTGTGTGTGTATATATTTTTTCCCCTTTTTTTCACAACAAAACTGTCCTTTGTTTACACTTTTGTGAAGCTAGTAATGCACGATACTAGGTTGCCTAGCAACTGATAGCTAACCTTAACCAAACAGGATGTACATCTCAGGAGTGAGGTGGCTTGTTTGCTTTAGGCGCTGGGCCAAGTCCCACCTTCATGTATTTGATTGCTTTCCTAGCTTCTTGGCTCCCAACATATCCCCCTTTTTCATGTTGTTTTTTCAGAGATGGGTGTTCCACTGCAGTTAGAGAAGCTGTATTTAGAGAAGTCTTTAAAGGACCTTTTCATACTTGAAACCAGTCTAAAGATTATAGCTACTTGAATGCAACAAAATAACCCAATATAGTGCAATAGACCATAATAGTAGTGGGTTATCAGCAGAACTGGCAATTGTCAGAAATTGTTGATTTGAGCCTTTTACAGCTCAACCTATTAATATGACTTTACTTTTTATACCTCGTGGCTATACTTTTCTGCTGGATGGTTAAGACTAAGTTAAAGCAAGACCTATATAACTGGGCTGGGGAGATAGCTCCATAGAATAAGCACTTGCCTGGCAAGCACATGGTCCTGAATTCAATCCCTAGTACAAAAAAAAAAAAAAAAAAAAAAAAAAAAAAAAACCTATATAATTAAAAATCTAACTTTTGTATCTGACAAGGTCAGCCAGATCCCCTCAGGATTTACACTGGAACCATGTACAGCAGTTTGTAGATCTTTTTTCAGTGTCAGTCATCTGGATTAATCACAGCCATTGCTTGACCAATTTGCTCTCTGTGAAAGCCTGAGAGAAATTTTTCTCTCTAGGTGACTCTCCTTAGGCACACTATACATCATTGATCACTTTCCTCTGCGGACCCATAATCTCCATGATCAGAAAATTTGAGACACCACTGAGTTACCAGATGTCACAGCAGGGGTTCTCTTATGTCCTGAGTCCTCACTGACCTTGAAGGGCTAGGGCAAAAATATTGTTTATCCTTGTAGCCCCTCTAATTCTCTAATTTTTGGTCTGCAAAGTTTAGTTGTTAAATATCCAGAAGAGAATCTTAATGATATTATTACCCTGTAACAGAGGAAACATCACTATCTGTCTGAATATCAATCACCTTAGACATAACAAGAAATTACTATTTTCCAGCAACCATGGATATTCTAAACTTTCAATCTCTATAGAATGTAAAAAAAAAAAGCAATTATAAATTTTCACACAGAAATTAAGAAATGATTCAATGAATAAGAAGATTTGTTCTAATGGTGTTTGTGGACAGGATGTCATGTCTGCATCTTGTACAATGAATAACCACTGAGACAACAATGTGCAATGTATTTATTATTGAAACTGTCCTACTGATCAATTTTGAAACTGTCTCATTGCTATTTGTTTCTCAATAAAATTTTTAAAAAATAAATAAATGAAAGTCAAAGAATAAAAACACCACTGAATTCTGGAAAAAACAATTAAGAAATCAAACCATGTACAATGTTGTAGCAGGACTTTTTTTTTCTTGTCTCTTGTTTTCTCTTATTACCTTTTTAAAAAAATTTCTTTCAAGAGAGTATAGCAAAATTGACGTGACCTTAGAAGCAGTATCCATTAAAATGACCAAAATGACAGGTATTTCAAGCGTGGTTTTAGTATTACACATTGCTGTCCCCAGTGTATTGCTTCGTTCACAGGTATCCACATATAGAGTTAGTCAGGGTGAGAAGTCTGCCTATTATATGCTGTCTTCAAAAACCTGATAGAGATTCTCAGGACCATTGCCTTAACCATCTTGTTTAAATAAATGTATGGTTTTGCCCCTGCCTTGTTTCCTACCTTTTCTCCTTTCTCTCTCTTCATTGTTTAAACCTTAAATTCTCACTTTCCATTTAACTGTGATATACCTTTCAATTTTTATTCCTTCTTTTGAGTTCTTACACTAGGGAGACAATCTTATAGTACAGTTAGATGCTTATCTTTATTCTCTTAAAACATCTAAAGAAGACAACCAGCTAGACATTGGAGATAATGACCCAGAAGCTGACAATGTGTCCCACCCCTCACGTGGAAGCATGCTACAGGAAGACACCTTCAGAACAGGACAGTCTGAGGCCCTTAGAAGATCTCTGATTTCCTGTACAGAAGAAGAAATTCAAATAGGAAAATACAGAGTGTTGAAAA